GCTTTAAGTCTGCATCTCAGTTAAACGGATAAACCAGAAATACATTATAACTTAATAATGTGTGTAGATTTAATTTCTCTGACCAGTGAAAAAACATTCCATTTTGTATACAATGTAAATATTCACAGAGTTGTCTTTTATTTTATATCTCAATTATTTGGACCAAGTTCATGGCCTGTATTGTTTTGTTGTAATAGTTTGGACCGATGTCATGACCTGTTTTGTTTTGTTGTAATATTTTGGACTGATGTCATGGCCTGTATTGTTTTGTTGTAGTACATTACATTTTTCTGAAAGAAAAAAATAGAAAATAATGTAATTTACTTTTAATACTGATTTCAATGAAATTTTCTGAGAAGCATAATTACCATGATAAAAGTTGTAGATTTCTTAGATCTACTGAATCATCCTATATAAACAAATATGATAAATTATGTTATACTTCTCTGTGATGTAAATGTTTGAATATATTTTTATGCTAAATGATAGTGATTCACTCATATCAATTATATTTTATATTTTGTAAAAATAGCTATGTATGTGAAAAAGTGAAGCGTTCTGTATTTTAAATAAGTGGTACCTGAGCCTTGCATTCCGACTTTGCAAATATGTAAAATATTACTTTCAGAGCAAGATAAAAACATAATAAATGTCTTCAAATTATGCTATTTTATATAAAAAATATGATATATAAGTTAATATACCGCCCTCACTTTTCTAAATATTTTATTTTGAGAGTGCTGGAGGTTCTTATCCTTTTATAGGCAAACATATCTACAATGTAACTGATCTTCATGGTGAAACAAAGCCCCCTAACTCAGTGAGTTTTAAGTATTTACATAACTAGCTTAATTTAGGGGAACCTCTCGCTTTATATATTCATACTCTGCAGTTAAGTTCTCATTACTCATCCACAATCACAATATTTGATGTTGTGTATATATTGCTAAGACGATTGTACTTCACAGATTTGTAAAGTGGGAATGCAACTTTAAAACTGAAGATCTAGAAAGTCTTTTACTCTGGTGACAGTTTCATAAACATATTATTATCAATTGGTGATAGTTTGGATGGTATAATACAAGAAAATAGTTTACTTTCATAAACTTTTATTTGTGATACATTTTGGCATTGCGTATTTGTTTTAATCATGTGTATGGGAGGAACCATAGCTCTTCTGTGTGGTTAAATTCCAATATTTAAAAATGACAACTTCAAGAACACTAAATGTATCATAAATGACTGAAATACCACCACAAAAACTAGTGGCTGATACAAGAAGAGCTATGGACCTACAGCTTTGTTTAACCTACAAGATTCAGTTTGTGGTTCTATATAGTACCATATTTTCTCTATATTAGTAGTGCATGTGCTTATGTAAAAGATATGTGCCTATGGTCAAAACAAGTTGTATTTTAATTAGTCTCTATACAATTATTAATGTATCGGTAATTGTTGGTTTTATGTGCTTCTAATAGTTGAATTGTGTAGTGCCATAGATGGTAAATTTGATGGTAAAATGAACAGTTTCTTTCTGACATTTATAAAAACTATATAAACCCTAATAAAAAATCTATATTATTGTGTACATGTCATGGAAATTATGTAAACTTATGCTGTGTTTACTAGGACTATTTGATAGAATGACATCACTGAACCAATCAATTTTTTGTCATATTTTGTAATAATCAATAAATCAGGCTGGTTCCTGGTCATTCGTCTTTTGTTAGTTCTTTGACACCTGCTATCAGTGTTCCTTCCAGAAGTGAAATTTTCATAATGGCCAACTGACAAAATCTAGCCTTTCTGCAGTTCTGGAATTTGGCCATCCATGGATTATTTTGTTCAAACTTTGTTAGCATTGAACAGTGGAAATAACATACCAAATCATTAAACTTAGTAAATTAGACGTATAGATAAGTTCAAGAAAACTACACAACATAGTCAAATCAGTAAGAGAAAGATATATGGACCCCATGGTATACATGAAGTGAGGTCAAGCGTTTCAAAATGAGAAGGCTCTACATATGTGACCCAACATGTATCATTCTGAGTCATAATCAAATGGTTCCTGTATAAAATCTTGCGTCTACATTCTTTTAACCACATTCTCATGTCTGTCAAAAAATGCATTTGTTCCTGATACTTGAAAGATCTTTTCCTTGATATCACCGACTGGGTTCGATTGTGGCAGAGCAGTATGACAAACAATTTACCATTAGTGCACTTATCGTTATTGTAAAGTGTTCAAAGAGTTCACATGGGGGAAAAGAAGCACACTCAAACTGCTCTCAGTAGATTAACTGTCAAATCATGAACATAAATATTTATCCGCAGTAAATAGGCATTTCTGTCAGTACAAGAAAGTACCTTTATGTCGATCAGAAAGTCAATTATTGTAAGGTAATTGTGTTGCATTCAATTACAGATTCACTTGTCTGTTATTTTTATCTGTTGCTATAACCTGCGTCTTTGGGCATGCGATACAATGCAGTCATATAAAATATACTATTAGAGACAGCAAAAATTAAGGATCCCAGATTGTTGTTTGATCCCCATAAGTGGCGACATTGAACCTCGGGTTGATCTGTATTTCTCTGACATGTTCCGAATCCTATGAAGTCCATATACCTTGTCTATTAACGATACTAATAGTTTTCAGGAATTAAAAAAAAAAAAAAAAATCCTATCGACCGACCCAATTTTTTGACTTGAGGGCAACATAAGTTTTTTTTTTGGTCTTATGGCTGGCTTTCCTACTTGCTATTATAATACAAGGTACTAGTATAAAAGTCTAAAGATTTTAAAATCATTGCAATTCTAAGATTTTCCATGCACAAAAATATGTACTAATGCCGTGATGGGACTTTATTCCAACAAAAGAATTTCAATCCAATTTTTTGTTGGCATTTATTATAAAATATACACTGTTTTATTGCCACTTGTATGTATACCTGCCTTGATGAAAGCCACTCTGGTGCCACTCTGATTACAATCTGTTGTTTTGTTGTATTTATTTATATTTACTATTTTTTTGTAATTATTTTGTATTTTGTTTATGTTCTTTGTTTTTAATGCTTGTGATTCGGTCTATTTTTAACTATCACCTTGTTTTGACATTCGCAATTACAAAACTTTAAAAAACTATCAACAAAAAATAATAATCTAAATAAAATAAAATAAAAAAACTGGGATCTTAATTTAATCAGATTGTTCTGGTGCCCATGCGTTGAACAAGTTGCTGGTGGTGTACATCATTGCATGACACAAGTATTTGACTGGGCAATGCATTGGCCAACTTCATGGGCAACTCAATTACTTGACAGGGAACATTTTTTTTTCCTTTGTTCTTTGACAATTTTGCCAAAAATAATGCCCCTAATAATCCTTACAGTATAAATTTGATGACGAACACTTTCTAATTCTCAGTAAATTCAGTGGCTCATTTCATTAACTATACATAAACATAGATTTAGTCTTCTTGTCTACCAAGGCAGAAACCAGGCCTGCATAACCCCAAGCACTCGCATATCAGCTCTGATTGCTTGCTTGTTTTATTTTTCTGACAGCATATATAACTTGTTACATTTTAGAAACCATGCCTTCAAAAGTTACTTTAGCCAATGACTTGTTCTGTTCACGTTAATCAATCATAAACACTTCCTAAGACATTAGTAATGACAAATGTTATTGTGTTAATTCAAACTTCATATAATGAATGTTTTATTTCTAGATTAAAAGGAAATATTGAAAATAACACACACTGACAAAACTGTCTAAAATTCAATAGCCATTCAATTATCAAAAACATTACTGTATCTAAAAACACTGAGATAATGCAGATTCAATCAACCCATCACCACTTTTAGAAATTCTAATATAAACGGTGAATATAATAGAGCAAAAATACAGCATTTAATAATATAACTGCAAGCAATAATTAGGGTGGTTTTAAATATGGTTTAACAATTATAAATATTTAATAAAATAATTGCCATATAATGACTTGATATTTTGGTTATATATCTATATTGTCAGACAACACAATTATATCACCGTTTGCATGACCCTATTTGCAACAGTGCTTATCCCTAAGCATCTACATGTATGTATCAAGTTTTAATAAAATCTGTTTAATGCTTAAAATTGGTTGATTATAATAGTAAGTTTATTCCTCTTATTATAACCAATACAATAAAAAAAAAATAGAATCAAAAACTAAATACACTGCAAGAACATAAGTGAGAATAGGATCAGAAAATAGCAGTCAGGTGACTGCTAATCTAATCCGTTCCCACCTTCTTAAATAAATAGTCATAATAATTAATAGAGCTTGTCAATTAAATAGCAAAAAAAAAATATGAAAATTAAATTATCTGTTACACAACCAGCACCAATCACCACAGAAGAACGACTTGTAATAAACTCAGGATTTATTTACTAACGGAAAGTTCGCTGGCAATCTGGAGACTTACAACAAGATATTAACGATATAATACAAATTGTAGTATTTCAGTTTGGATATCATGAACAGTTACTGGGCGTAGGAAAAAGGATTGGGTAGCTCCTGAAAATTTCCCCTACAAAGTTGTAGAAAATGTTATTATTATTTGAAGTTATTTTGTTGGCTAACTTTTCGCCAATTGTAACGAAAAACTCATTAAAGTCATTCGCAATATTTTCTAAATCTGTGTGTATAATTGGGGCGCCATTATAGTCCAGGTTGACTTCTTTTGGTATAACTAAATTTGGTTTGGATTTGCCAATGAGTTCATTGATTACTTCCCAGTTCTTGTTCAGATTTCCTTTATTAGAGTTAAATAAATATGTGTAATATTGCTGTCGGACTTTCCGTAGTAACTTTGTCAGAATGTTTCTGTATTTTTTATAAGTTTGCACTTTTTGTTCTTCGTAAATACTTTTAATCATATTGCCAAATAAACGATGTTTTGTTCTAATCCATTTCCTAATTGCCAATGTTATCCAAGGTTTATCTTTGTTCCATTTTTTGCTGACTTTTTTTAATTGCATGTTTATGACATATTATCAAAAAAATTTTGTTGAATTTAGTGGTCGCCATATTAACATCCTGACAATCCACCCATGTTCCTGCTCTCAAATCGGATCTAAATGAGTCTACTTGGAATTTGGAGAAATCTCAGGAATACATATAATTGTTATCTTTATGAATTGGCAGTAGAGGGGGGAAAAAAAAAAATGGCAGTTGATCAGAAAGATCTTAGATAATAGTACCTGAAGAAATATCTGTTTTGCATATATCAGTGTATATGTGATCAATAATTGTTGAATTGTTGTTCTGATCAATATTGAAATCTCCAACTAAAATACAGCCATTGTATTGTGTTTTGATCTCATTCAGTGTAATCTCAAGATTACTGATAAAACTGTCAATTTGTGTAGCTATGGGGTCTATACAATACTTCATTGATGTATTTGTGTTTGCCAATCGAAATTTCTAAAAACAAAGACTATTATTATAACACGAACTGAGTTAAAAACAGAGTACTGTAGATTATTTTGAATGTAAATGCCTACCCCTCCACCTCTTCTACCATCATCTTCTGCAATTTGCTTCAAAAGATGTCCATAGACACGATTGTCCGCCGTATAAAAAATGAACACGGAAAAGCGTCAAGTTGAGAAATCATGTCGATGAAATTCTTGATTCTGCCCATGTTATGTTCCGTCAGCTGTTCTTTCGGAATAGACGTAATTTTTTTATATGAGTAGTCCACAGGGGCTTGACGATCTATTCGTCTCAATGCGTGGACGTCCTATGGGGCCGAAAGCGACTATGTCCCGGTACAGGACCTTGCCCTTGCTCAAAATAATAGAAATTATAGAATTAAAACAGTTTTTATTTTACTTTTATTTTTATTAAATTATTTTATTAAATTTAATCATCACGCTCCGAAACCACGAAAATCACTAATACTTTATATATATAGTGCAAGCTGATCAGCCGGAAACAAGTATTAGCTCGGCCCCATAGACGTCCACGCATTGAGACGAATAGATCGTCAAGCCGGTCGACTTAGAAGGCGCGAGTTGATCCCGTTTCCCCCGTGTTTTTCGATTATGCCGTGTATAGTACTTTTCACAGTCTCATTGGCTAAATATCGCAGCGAAAATTCTCAGCCTCGTCAGCCTCTGACGTACTATATATGACTGGGTTGTAGGATCAACGAACCTAGAATTTTGCTTTGTGAAATTATTAAAATAGTTGTGAGAAAAATTTACGTACATTGTACCGATAACACAAACTAGCGCACAAAACTTCAACAGATAGTACGTTCCATTATAATTTGGGGGATTGCCGCTTTTAGTGCGACACTGTACATACAGTGTGTCTTATATTTTAATATCTCATACATTGTAATATAAAGCAAAGTACGCGGAATATTTAAATACATTGAAATTGGGGGTGTAATCCTTGAATCGATTTCCAGAACACTTGACTTGTGTGTGTTCCTCGTAATGAGTGCGACGTCTCCTTTTGGTGTTAGTTTGATCCAAGGGGGTCAGATAACGATCTTTAGACGCGTACACCAAAGCAGTCACCAACGTAGCTGGCAATGTTGCTGTTTTGGTGTTCGGAACAATATGGCGATGACAGTAGTTATGTCACAATTTTTGACTCCTGTCTTTGCAGTTCGTCTGTCCATATTTGTGTGTGTGTGTATGTGTGCGTGACCATCTGTTCCACTGATAAAGAACCATATGTTGGTTTTTGATGAAACTTGATGCACAGAAGATGCTCTGGGCTAATGCGCAGATTTGATTACCTAATTTGCATGATAATTAGCTTTTTTTTAGCTGTTCCATGACTGTTTTGCTCTAACAATTTGCTCTAATACTGTAAAGGGGTTAATTATTCACTGGGTTTTAATTTTGCTTATTTCCCTGAATGGAAAATGCGCTTAATTAAAACCCAGTGAATATGTAAAATTTAGCATAGAACACATTATCTAAATGATAAACCGTGAATTTAAAACCCACTGAATATACCTAAAATGGTAAATCAGCGAAATTTAAACCCAGTGAAAATTAGTCATTTTACAGTAAAAGTACATTTGCTAACTTCATGTCTCCAATACCTTCAGCACACAGGAGTTCTTTCGCAGCTTTGATTTATGTCTGTGTTTTGAAATCACACACACTAAACCATTCAGGGTGAAGTTAGGCAATTGACAAGGTAGGCAATTATTTCATCTGAATTATCTGACTAAGGGTATTCGGAGAGGTTGTGCTTGCAGTAATTGAAAAAAAATATTTTTAGGGCTTGATAGGAAACACCCTAATTGCGGAACACCTTAAATATTTTCACCTACACAAGGTAATTAGAAACTATTCCTTTCTGTTAATTTTGTCAGAGTTTCTTGAGAATATCATGTCTTTCTCCTTTTACATCCAGGAGTTATGATGTTTTCCTTATTCAAAGATCCTTTCCTATTGTCTTCACATCTGAAATGAGAACCAAAAAAAAAATCATTTTAAACAGTATTACCGAATTCTGCCGTAAATTCGCCCATCCGAAAAATCGCCCTGGACGATTTCACGGCTGGTGGGCTCTTATTTGGGGTTCTAAATTTCAAAAAATGATCACCAAATATTTTTTGGGGACTTATATTTTGACTGAGAAATCCACCTATGCCGACTTTCAACGCCAGCAATTGGACCACCCAAAACGAAAGGAACTATTGCAGAAGCAAATCTAAAATTTTATACATTTTTTTCTTGCTGGATTAAAAATTAGACCGCCCAAAATTTCATTACAATATCACCCAGCACAACTTTCTCAAAAAAAAAAATCACATTAATGAACCTCGTGCACCAAATACAATTATTATTTTCATTTTATTAGTAACGAAAGTATATTCTAAAAGAAGTTTCAAACAAAAACGAACACAACTGCATTGCTTAGTAGCAAATGATCGCGGTAGCGCAATCCGGTCATGCTGCGTTTCACAATTGTTGATTATTATCTAGTAGTGAATATAATAACATGAAAAAAATTCGTTGAATTGTTATGAAATGCGATTTCTTGGTCCCATTTTATTTTTTTTTAAACTCCAAAATGCTGTTTAACGGCCCAGGGCGAATTTATGGCAGAATTATAGAATTATACATCTATCCTGCACTAGTTTCAATGTTTGAATTTTTTCTTATACGGGGAAAACTAATATGTGACAAACATTGAATGTGTTCTAGGTTATTGTGTAGAATTACCGTAAAATCTGTATTAGAAGCCGCATCCCCAATACCGGTAGAAGTCGCACCCATCCTTTTTGAATAATTGAGAACCAAAAATTAATCATTTGTCATATGTGTAGATGCTCTAATAGAAGCCGCATTCCCTCTGTTGCATTGTACTATTTTAATAGAAGCCGCAGCTTCTAATACAGATTTTACAGTACTAGCCCATGTTTCTGTGAGGCAAATAATGTCATGGTGTGCAAGAAACAAGATAAAGTTCCAGCAAATGAAACGAGTATTGAAATCTTGGTTCTTTTCTTGTTCAAGTTTTTATGAGTTTCTTTATTACTGTAAACTTTGTAGTAGAATCAGTAGCCTACAATGTAGCTATTAAACTGATACAATGCAACAGAGGGAAAGTGGTTTTTATCATCTATACTTATAAGGAATAGTGAATTCTCAATTGTTCAAAAAAAATGGGTATGAATTCTGTTGGGGATGCGACTACTAATAAAAATTATACAATACCTGTGG